GTGTTGTATCTCCTCCTCGAACTCCTCGAGCACCTCATAGTCGAGTGACCTAATGGAGGGCTGGTCGTCGTACGGATAGTAGTCTTCGTTCAAGCTCTTCACCATAACTACTACTACGAGCCTAAGGAGAATAACTAAGGATCTAAGGGTGTTCAAACGTCTAACACTAGATCACTAGCCTAGGAAGCAAAGTATGAAAAGTGCAGAGGATTGCGATGAACACTAACCTTGAACACGAAGAACATGAAGAACAAGCTTGGGAGTTTATCTCTCTAGAAAATTGGCCAGCACTTCGACAATTCAGAATGCAAATGAGATTTTTGGTCGGAGGGGGAGGGGTATTTATAGAACCCCCCACCCAACGGTCACTACACGTGGCACCCTCCCAATGGCCACATCAACGGCCACCAATGGGAGGGCACCACGTCACCAACGGGCCAAGCTACATGTCAACAGCCCACTGGCAAAACAGACTCTACGGCCTATACACGTGCTGGCTTCACGAGTGCCAGCAAGCGCCCACAACGTCCTATTTGCTTGCCAGGTTCACAAACGCCAACAATAAGGAGACGACAACGGCCAGGAACGTAATGAACGTCCGTAACGGCCACAGAAGCAAAGGAACCAAGAACCCACAGCCATCGGCTCCTCGTAATGACCAGAAAATCGCCATGAGGGTTGGATTCAGGGGGACTACGGAGAGGCCGCTTCGGCCAGGGACTCAATCAACTCCTTCACCCCTCACACTCTTCGGCCTGAAGCAGTGGGGGACTGGGGGACTACACCGGCCTCAACAAAACAAAAAGGAACAATACAAAGAACATGACTATAACCAACAAAGCATTGTCACATCGGCCATGTATCACACTGCGCCTCGTCGACCAAAGGCACACAACGTCATCAGCAACGACCAACTGGCCACCTAAGGCAAGGACACTCATCGTCCTCCGCCAACAGTTAATCATGATGGGCTCTTCGGCCAAGAACACGAAGGCCAATCAGCGACGGCCAAAAGGAGTGCGCAAACACCCTCATCGGCCACCCAAAGGAAAGGACGCCATCGTCCTCAAAGCAAGGTTCAACCTCCGTGGCCTCATCGGCCCAAACATAAACTTCAACCATCAACGTCCAGGAAAGGGAAAGCATGCCCTCAACGGCCACCATTGAAGCAGGACACTTGTCGTCCCCAAACGAACACATCAAGGAAACAACGGCCTCCCCGCCCACAGCGAGGAGCAGGTAACGGCCAAGGCACAGAACAGGATCACCAAAATGGAAACAGCACCAACGCCGCAACAGCTGACGGCCTGGGAATGCCCGCATCGGCCAAAAGCACTAAAGCACAGGAATCTACTCTCCTTCACTTCGTCTACGTCTCAACTTAGAGAGTGGGGGACTCCTGATGGAGTATATGGGTCTAAGCCCCCGGACCCACATACTCGGAAGAACAGAAAGCACAAGACACAGAGTGGCGCCCTCGTCGGCCAAGACGCCCCCGTCGGCCGAAAAGGTGCCAACTCAGATTATGGTCCTGAAGCCAAGGAACCCGGGTGCCCTCGTCGGCCGTGCCCTAGTCGGCCACGCCCTCGTCGGCCACGAAGACTCCACAGAACCGGATTCTACACTTACTTATTTGTACAGCCCATTAGTGGCTTTGTATTCGGCCCAGTAGCGGTCCAGTTGTAAATGGGCCTCCCAAGCCCAAGCCTTGGGAGCCCAGCCCGTATTTTCTCTATAAATACTCCCCTTGGGAGTAGTTATAGGGGTTACAAATTCATTCTATTGAAGCATATTATTGCACTTCTCTCTCTAGCTCTCACTTCTCTCTAGATATACTCTATCATAAAATATTATTAATGTTTGAGTTTGTTTTTTTCTTTTTCCAATCAACCTTCTAACTTAAATTTTTTAATTTGTGCATTATAAATATTTTAGTATTAATGTTTATTTTTTCTATTATTAATTTTAAGATGAATATTTATTAGTTTATTAAATATTGTGTGTTTACTAACACGAGTTTTGTCTTATACTAAAATGAGTACTCCCTTCATCCCTTAAAACTTTGTCAAGTTTGACCGACACGAAGATTAATAAAGTAAAAACTGTGTGGTTGAGATTTGTGCAAAGGAGAGAGAATTAACTGGAACCACAAAATAATTGAATAACAGAGAAAGTGACAAAGTTTTTTTGTACATCCCAAAAAGGAAAGTTGGCAAAGTTTTAAGAGACAGAGGGAGTATAATTTAAAATAAATGTGCATACACAATTGTTAATAACGAATCTACTAGATGTATGTATCATAGAAAAGAGTTTATGTTATATTGGAATAAGTATAACGATTAAAAAATGAGCATACATAATTGAATATTTGAACACATTAGGGAATTCAAATGAACTTTTGAATTTTTCGATGCTCATTTTGTAAGTTACATATGCTCATCAGGTATTGGTTTTATACTTATTTTAAAATGTTATATCAATGAATATTTTCAAAAGTAACATATTAGATTAGATTCAAGTATGATTTAATAACAGATACGAGAGCACAGACTCGAGGTTTAAACTTCGAGATTACAATCTCGAGGTTTAAATCTCGAGATTACAATCTCGAGGTTTAAATCTCGAGATTACAATCTCGAGTTTATCCCTTAGAAGAACGTCGAAATCCACCTGCAAAAACAACACCTCAAGACTTCGAAATCTTTAGAATTTCAAAATGTTTAGAACATCGAAAACTTTGGAGTTTCGAAAGCGTCAGAATACCGAAAACTTGCTGTTTGAAAAACATCAGAACATCGAAAACTTTGAAAAAATTTGAAAAGCAGAGATTCATCCAAAAATCCTATAATTTAAGCTTCGAAATGTTCAGAACAGAAAGATATCAAGCTTCGAACGATTTTGAGTTTCACGAAACTCCAAACTTTGAAAGATTCAAAACATCAAGAAATTCGTAAAATGTCGAAATCTTCAAAAACTTCGAAATCTTACGTGTCATATAAAAACCAGAATCTCGAGATCTTCCAAGGTATCGAGATCTAACAAAATCTCGAAATCTTTCAAGTTGAAAATTTCGAGTTTTGAAATTTTGAAAACAGTTTTGAAAAGCCCTTGATCTCGCGATTCCTCCTGTACCAAATTCAAGTCAAAATCGTTTCTGCAGCGGTGAAAAAATGGGATCTCGAGATCTCAGTATAGAGATCTTCGGAATCGAAAAATTGTAGAAATCGAAAACAAAGAAGTGATGTAGAATCAGTAAGAGGAGGCGATTCCAACAGTATAATTTTTACAAAGTTTCGACCAAAAACAATATCACAAAGGCAAATATCGAGATAATGAAATACTAGAGAAAAACAGGGTCTGTCGAAAAAGCAGATTCGAAAAACGCAGATAGATTCAACCTTTTTCACGCCTCGGCTCTGATACCAATTGATAAACCCAGATATTTAACAAACAACAAACATAAGCAGTGAAGAAGAAGCAGATAGAAGGATGTCGATATTATACACGAATCTGGTATACCGTATGAAACCTCGCTGCTCTCCCTCGAGAAGGAGAGCAGCGGAAACTCTTCTCTCTATCTCGCCTCTACGCACTCTAAAGGCTTTTCTCAATACTTAGGGTTCCTGTAAGTTAGCTTCCTTTTATAGGAGAAGTTGGCTAACTTACGGGTTACAAGGAATCTAATGGGTTGATACACATTTGTGGCCCATATTACACATCTAAATGCTAACTACACAAATACAAAGATATTTAATCTAGATTGGACACCATAAAATATTCCTAAACATGTTTTCTTTTTATTTTCACTTTTCCACTTTTCTTTAATAAGAAAAAAATGATTAATAAGAAAAACAAAAAAGAGAAATGAAATAAAAACAGAAAGAAAAATAAAACAGCAAAAAGGAGCTATTTTGAAGAGAAATTTTACAAAAAAAAATCTCTCCTAATAGAGTACGAAATTGAATAAAAAAAATGAAAAAGAAAAAGGAATAAAAAGTGTGCAGGGATGAAAACAAAGAGAAATTTTAGAAAGAAAAATGAAAAATGAAACATGGAAGTATGGAACCGTTTTGAGCAAATTTGTGACATGTGAGATTATTTATACGGAGTATAAGGTTTAAAAAAGAAATGGTAAAAAACCTGATATAGTAGGTCATCAATAGGTCAGAGTCAATGAAAGAAGATGAGGTGCAAATGTAGGATTAGGGATGGACTAAACCGGGCCAGCCCGACACGGAACCGGCCCGGCCCGCTACAGTGTAGGCCCGGACCGGACCGGGACCGGTTGGCCGGTTCCGGGCTTTTAGCCCGTTTGGGCGGGTCGGGCGGGCCGGGCTCGGGCCCAACTTTTGTTGAACCGGCCCGGGCGGTTCGAGCCAGGCCCGGTTCAATTTTTTTTTCTTTTCCTAGGGTAGGGCTAGGTGTTTTGGGGAGGTTTGGGGGGTTGGGGGATAACAAGAAATGCAAAAAAAACAAAAAATTAAACATGGAACCGGGCCCGATCCGGCCCGGTTAGGCCCGGACCCGGTATCAACCCGAGCCGGTTCCGGGCCCAAGTAATTGCAAAAAAAGCCCGCCCGGGTCCGGCCCGGAACCGGACAGGCCCGGGTCCATCACTATGTAGGATTATTCTGGTATTACGTAAAGATGAGATTATTGCAAGAAAATTGGTGAAATGTGGAATTATTCTTGTCAATTTTTTCATTAAAAATTACTTCATCCGTCCCTTTTTGGGACGTCCCAAAAAACTTTGCAACTTTCCTTTTTAATCAACTATTTTGTGGTTTCTATTATTTCTCTCTCCTCTGCACAAACCTCAACTACACAGTTTTTACTTTATTATTCTTCATGTCGGTCAACTTTGTCAAAGTTTTAAGGTATGGAGGTAGTTATTATACATAAATATACCCGCTATAAGTCTATAACTATAAACACGCCACTAATACTATTCAAATACAACTCTATTTACTTGAAACCAAACCTATCTAGGCGGGTTAGGAGGAAAATGTAGAGTTTGTAAAAATTGGCATGCAATGTTTGATGGCATATTTCTTTGCTAATAATAAAGCGCTGCTTCGCCAGCCTAAAGAAAAGCATTTTACTGTAAAATGAAACTCAGATTACTGTCTCGTAAGTAAACTTCAAAACCATAAAGTTATTATGAAGTTAAACAGAACACACATTCCTACACCAATTAAGCAAAAGATGATCTCCAACCTGCTGGAGTACCATCCAGAATCCAGATCTGCAACATAAATCCACACTTCAAATGAAAATCGATGAAAAAAGAAGTTGGAACATTACTATCATCATATATCCATTGGAGCCGCTCCTTCAGCAGCAGTTGGGTCTGTGGCAGGAGCAGCAGGAGCATCACCCTCCCCAACTGCTTCTTCTTCTTCACCTCCTGCTACCTCAAACTCATTGATTAAAGATTGTATAGCTTCCTTATCCAACACGTGGAATGGCTCTCCTACCCCAAGCACAGCAATTGTGCAGGCTGAGCTCGTCAGCTTCTCTCCTTGCAAGGTTTCTCTCAATGCAAAGAGTGCATCCTTGAGCAGGCTTTCTCTTGGGGAATCCATGAAGGTTTCATATCGACGCTCTAAGTATGTTTTTGCAGCTTGTGAGCGAGACCCAATGGCAAATGCTTGGTACTCGAAGTAGTTTCCACTTGGGCAGTTGTAATAGAGGTGTGCTCCCGACTCATCTAGCCCTCCCACAAGGAGGCCAACACCATATGGCCTTTTCCATGACCTCTGTGTGCAAACCTGAACAAACAATAATCGTGTTAGCAAAGCCGAGGCACAAGTAAGGGCTTGTTTGGCAAGGGTTACTTGGATCAAATAACTTCTTTGTAAGGAAAACCATTTTGTAAAATCGATTTCTGCCAACTAAGCAAGTCAAAGGGACTACATTGGTGGATGTTCTGCTGATAAGCAGGATAAACCGATTTATACAACCAAACAGGAATAGAATAATCTGACCAATTCTTTCAAATAGAGCGCTCTGTATATCCCCATTTGCTCTTCTTCAATCATTTTCATTTCATTTTCATTTACCCCAGTGCCGCAAAGGCTCCCACCTACGGTGGGGTAAGGGGGGGTTGGATGTACGCAGCCTTACCCCTGTACTAAAGCACAGAGAGACTGTTTCCGGATGACCCATAGTGAAAATCCCGTCCAAAATTGCATGGACTGACTGCTGCTTCATAACAAAGAAGCGCAGACAGTTGAGTGAGCCATTTTGCTTTATTCCATCATAATCTCAAGCCAAAAAATAATGAATCTTTGGCTCCATTGCAAATGATGGAAATAGTATGGTCGAGAATTGTTTAAAAAAAATATCAATTTCAATCACACAATCTTTCCTTAAAAGATAATGAGAAGTTTATTTTGGCACAACAAAAAAGGATTGAAAACAATTGAAAATTTACTATGGGACTAAGGGAGTAATGGGTAGGGTGTACAACACTACAGAGAGAGTGAGGGAATGACTTTTCCATCATGTTTTGCAGTCGTACTTGTAGGCAACACAAATGTAGTCAGTCTGGTATTACCTGAGGGGTAAGGTAGAATAAGCCGAGTTCCATCATATTGTTCAGTCATAGTTTTAGGCAATTACCTTCATGCACTACCTATTAGCAGGCATGTTGAGGCACATACGATAAGGTGGTAACTGGTAGGCAAATTAAATATACCAATTTTTGTATATACAACCTGGATTGTTTTAATTTTTTAATAAAGCCAGTCTCTGTACCAATATTTTCAGCAAACCTCGGATGATACATTGCACGCCTAGAAACTATTAATGCAGCCAATCTATTTAGTTAACTGGTAAGGAAAGAGACATTTGGATAAAAGGGACCCCAATACAAGAGACTCGTAAATAAAAATCATACTATTTTGGTTTGGTTTGGTTTGGTTTGGATTTTTTCTTTAAAATATATTAAGAATTTTTTGAATTTTACACATTGGTTCAGTTTTATTCGATTTTTCATGGGTTCGGTTTGATACAGTGAAAGAAATACTACCAAACTCAAATCGAATTGGATATGGTTCGGTTTCGGTGTGATATAGCTCGGTTTGGTATAGTTCAGTTCGGCCAAACCAAACCAGTATGCCGACCCCTACTACAAATCATGATGAGACAACACAATGAATAGCATGACGAAGATAGATGCATATTAATCATTAATGTCAGAATTTCAGGCAAATCTCAATTAACTCCTTATTTCTTTCTATTGTTTTCAAATTTCACCTACAAAGTATAGCTCCGATTTTTTTATTTTGAGGAGTGTATTTGTCCAACTTATTGAATCTGATCAATGATCATGCAGTTTTAAAAAGCAGCGCTCGGCTATTTATTGGGTGTTCAATTAATTTTTTTAAAGTGATTATCATGCAAAATGATTTTAATTAGGGAAAATGGAAACTAATAATCCAACCTTTTAGCGGTCTTTTGACAATAGTCCCACCTTTTCATTATTCATGAATAATCCAACCTTTGCACCCCATCTTCATTCAATGGTCCCTGACGGATTTATGATCTGTTATTCCAAGTTATTTTCTTATCTTTGCAAAACTTTATGTGATCATAAGGTGGGAATTATCGTATAACTTGGAATGAAGATAAGAAAATACCTTGGAATAATAGGTCATAAATCAGTCAGGGACCCGTGAATGAAGATGGGTGCAAAGGTTGGATTATTCATGAATAATGAAAAGGTGGGACTATTGTAAGAAGACCGCTAAAAGATTGGATTATTAGTTTCCATTTTCCCTTTTAATTAACCCAAGATTATAATAACTTACTCTGATTGTCATTTTTATCTTAAATGGTGTTTGGAGGTTTTGATTCAAAACTAAAAACAGAACCCAGATTAGTGTTGTGATGTGATAGATGGTTTATCCAAATTGTATCACAATTACTTGTAATAGAGCTTCAAACTGAAAAAAAATGGCAGATTTGCTGTTGTAACGTGATAACAGAAGAATAACTACAAAAATTAGAGCCAATTCTTATAAAAACGAGTCAGGAGAGTCACTTCTTAAATGGATCAGTTAGAAGCTCCTAGAATCACTTTTAGGAATTCTAGCAAACACATTAAAAAGCAATTTTTCGACTTTCTGTATTTGAATAATAGGATCAGTCGGGTGTTCAAGCATGGTTATTATAATAGGAAAAGTCTGGTAACAAAACAGTACACACTAACCTAGTGGAGTTGAGTTGGCCTCTTTGAGAGAAGAAGCTAAACATTATTGATCTAGTGTTTAGTTAAGTTTATAGGCTCGTGATAGGAAGTGCCTGAAACACAAAATGGAGTTCGCAATAATCTCCAAGTGCATTTTAAACTTTCACAAATTACAATCCAGTGACTAGCCGTCCCCAAAAATCCAGCAACTTTAATTTTCCTTTGACAGTCTTAGGAATCCTAAGAATATTGAAAAAATAAGCACTTGTTGCTGGCTAGTTTTCTACTTACTGCTCAGGATGAATTAACCAGCAGATAGCACTTTAGCTAGAAAGTCACAAGTGCACTTCCTTGCTAATGGAAACGGATAACTATTAACTGACAAAGTGATAGCTTTCTCTGCAGTTATACCAAGGCTTCCTAGTAAGTAAAATGCTATGTCGATGGCAGGACTTTAAAAAACGTTCACGGATGAATTAAATATCCAAGGTCAACTGGTCAAGAGGCATACAAAAAACAGCACCCAGATATTCAAATTAACTAAAGATAAGAATTGGATAGGATATTCCAACTGAGCTTCGCTCAGAGAAAGAATCGATCAGTGGAACACGATTCGATAGCTCGTGCATTGAAAAGATTGACTAGAATAAAAAGCGCATAAATTAGGGTTTTCATTTCGAGTGAGACCTGTGCTTTATCGGCAAGCTGAACAACAAGTCGGCCAACAGGGAGTGGAGACTCGTACGAGTAACTGTAATTAATGCACTCATTGCGCATGTACCGGGAGAGGACACGGCCATCGGCGGTGAGGCCGGCGATTGCAACTCCAATGTGATCGTCGACCTTGAAGATCTTCTTCTGGTGAGATGAAAGCTCGGAATTGGCTTTGTTAACGGAAGCAAAGACTACGTGAGTCTTCGATCTCAGACCTATCGCCGCCGAACCCTGTTTCACCGCCTCCATTGCGTACTCCACCTGGAACAGCCGTCCAGCCGGCGACCATGTCGTCACATCTGTGTCATACTGGTTCCTAAACATCTTCGAACTTCCTGCAGTCGATAATCACGCCTTGTTTCAACCGAGTCGCGTCGTTACCGAGTCAGTTCGGTGCTTCGTATATATAGAACGACACTGCTTTTGCTTTCTTTTCCTTCAAGGCAGGAGTGACCGAGTGAAGCAATCTCAGGGATTGTCAAATTTTTATGTTTATTATAAATACGAGTATATAAATTCAGTTCATTGTTTATAATGTATTGGGCTGTTGGGCCTCTGTTGTGAGCCAACTTTTCTAAACGGGCCTTAATGTGGTGCATTGGTACTTAGTAGAAACTAGAAATTCTCCATGGATGATATCAACTTCAAAAAGAAGATTATGAAACCATTTGGCAACACAAAATCTAAGAGGTTGTATATTTTTTTCTATTAATTTCTATCTTGATTAAGATGTTTTTCTAAATTAATTGATATTTGTATATGAAATCTTTTGTTTTGTGTGTTGAGTAAAGAATAAAATAAAATAATCAATTTAGTATTATTATTGGGTTATAATGTCACTGAAAAAACTTCGTTTGCCAACATAAATATATTCCACATTTTATTTAAAAAAATTAACAAAAACTATGTCTTAATGAAAGGACTATTTTTTCAGCTTAATAATTAAGTCGGTTTATTACTAAAGGATTAAGTTATGGTTTCAATTAAGTCGTAAGTGAGAATGACTTAATGGCTGAACGATTAAGTCGTTATTCTCATTAAGTTGAAAATAGATCGGCCCAAATTGAATCTTGTGAATCTATTTAAATTGTTCAAGTTATGCTAAAACACCTAAACCAGATGAATCTACTGATTATGAAATTATTATATCTGAATTGGTAGTAAAATATGTCATTTGAAAGCACAAGTGAACACATTGAGTTATAATAGCTCTGCAATTGGTCTATAAGAATACACAAAAAATTTGAGCCCAACAATAGTGTTGTCTCCTTAAATTGATTTAACTCCACTAACGCAGTAATTGTCTCTCAGGATAAAACAGATTCATTCCCGATGACGGGACTCCTGCAAACCCAAGGGTGCAAGGATTTAAGGAAAAATAAATGATGGAGGGAGAAGAAGTTTTCGGACTTGTGGTTTTCTTGCAAATTGGTTGGGTATTTATAGTTTCTGGCCAGGAAATTCTCACTCAAATTGGTTGTGACCTTTCTTTCAAGCTAAAGAGTCATGCTTTTTTTGTCAAAATACAAATATAATCCAAAAACGTAAAGTCTTTAAGTGGACTATTGAATACTCGTCAAAGACTCGGACCTGAATTCAAACCAGGCGGTGGCGGCGTGGTGAAAAGTTAATTCCACAACGCTTACTGTATACGGGTCTCACTGCTCAAGAAAACTCAATGTCCCAAAGGCCCAATCTAATAGCTAAGGAAAGTTTAAAAAAGACATTTTCTTAACTCTCCATTTCCGAATGTGGGACAAACTCACTTTTGAAACTAGTTTTTGACAAAGTTCGAGGAACAATTTCTCATTCATTTCTAAATGATTTTGCACATTTTAATATATGGTTGTGATCGCCTTTTGGAGCACTATATGTTAAGACTTTGGTCCTAACACAAACTAATTGTGGATCTCTTGTTTATTTTAGTTCTAAGGTGACCATTATATTAAATTAAAACAAATTTTCAAACCATGTGCAACTAAGGATGTTTTTACTTGGACTTTAATTCGTCCCAGACCAGACCAGATCAGACCAGACCAGACCAGTTCAGACGAGATCAGACCAGACTTGGATAGTTATAAAAATACAAAGAAACCATATCAGACCAGATCAGACTAATTCAGACCAGACCAGACCAGACCATATCAGACCAGACCAGACCAGACCAGCAAATTACAGTCCACGTAAAAACATCCTAACCATGATAATGGATCCACGGGACTTGCATCTGATATGAACTAACACTTGGACAGCTGGACCTACTGGTGAGCTAACTATAATTATTATAGTTCATAATTATTTGTTTAGTGTTTTTTATATCATTACTATAATTTGTGGACCAAATGGGACACTATAATTATTATAGTAATGATATAAAAAACACTAAACCTCAATTTGCATCTGATATGAACTAAAACAAATTATTGAATAAGATGGTGTCCCATTTGTGATTGAGAGTTAACTGAGATGTAAGTAGAGTCTGTTTAATAACATTAAGTTGGTTGTATACGTTGAATTTGATCAAAATTATTAGTTGATTCTGTTTATATATGAAAAAATATATTTAAAATATATTTTGTTAATAAAAGAAAGAAAAATTTATATGAAAATGGTTAAAATGGTCCTTTATAATAACTTCAGCTAATTCAGTCAGAAAAGTAACTTCAACTTTATTTATTTTGAAAATTAAACATTTTGACGTGTGTAATCAAACATTATGTGTTTTATAAAAAAAGTTGGCTTACAAAATTGATAAGCGGAAAATACATGAACACCAAACAGGCTCGTAGTACGGTTGGTGCGATTGCAATATACAGAGTATGACACAAGCAACCAGGCTGCTAGGCTAATCTTGGGCCGAGTTGAATATTAAATTTTAGTTACAAAGTTTCATGATTATTTTTGTGTAAACCTTTTTTGTGTGTGGTGGTTAGACTTTAGACGCCTATGAACATTATAAAATTTTAAAATGGTCTAATATTATTTTAGTCATTCTGGAAAAAAATCAAAGATTTTCAGGCCAGTGCACTATCCGGCTAGTTCTTAAAGACGGGTATGAACATGTGGTTAGACTCATTTCTTGTGGGTCAGATGAGACCCGTCCACATAAAATTTAGAAAAAAATCAGACTCTAATCTTTGGGCCATAACTCACCATATTTAGTTTATACGGAGTACTATCGATAGCTAAACTTAAGTGGCGGAGCAAAAACTTAAGTGGCGGATCATTTGAAGTGGGAGATGATCATCTTTTAATGAATAATTTGGTGTCAAATTTTCTAAAGAAGTTCATCAATCAAGTTGAGATAATGGGAAATGAATAGACGCATGTAATCATATACCAATGACAAAAAAGTTAAAGAAAAAGCAAAAGTGTGTCTTTTGAGGAAACTTATTTGGCTCCCTAAATCCCTCTGCCTAATACCGAGTAATAATTAGTAGTCTTTTTTGGAGGCTGGTGCCTTATATTAGAAAGAAGGAACATAAGCAGGATACAAACTGACAAAGAATCCATTGTCTATCGTCCGTCCGTGAACCAGACTTTGAATCTGTCACCTCAAATGAAGCAACTAGATTCGTTGATCCTAATTTGGGCTTACTTGAGCCAACGACTAGTAAACTAAGTTCCTCATCATCTGTCCTATGTTCTAGTGTCTTGGCAAAACAAAAAGCAACAACATTCAAAAACACGTGATGTCCATGGCAAAATTCAGCAAAAATAAAAACAAGACTAAATGTAGGGAAAACTTTAATTCTCCAAGTGCACCAGATCTTCACGTGTTGTGACGGATCTGGGACTTCAGACCGCCTCCTCCCCGTTTTTTTATCCTTCCAGCATCATGGTGTCCTCTTCTAGTTGCTCCCGCTCTAGCTCCTTTGCTTCCCATGTCCATCTCCTCTTCTGCTCTTCCGTCCCACTGTTGTGAGTCTCTGCTCCCACGATCCTTGACTCGCCCCCATCACCCTGAATCTGGTTTGCCATGCAGTGCATTTCATGTTCTTGTAATAATTAGTAGTCTAACTTCTTCTTTTTTTATTATATCCATAATTAAACTTATTTAATGTTTAATGATTGTATCCTTGGGTGCTTGGTTCATCATATGATACTATCTATGTTCCTTAAAACTTTGTCAAGTTTAACCGACACGAGGATTAATAAAATAAACTGTGTTGTTAAGGTTTGTGCAGAGGACAGAGAATTAACTAGAACCACAAATTCTTTACCAAAATGAGAAAGTGGCAAAGTTAGTGGGACATCCAAAAGAGGAAAGTTGACAAAATTTTAAAGGATGGAGGGAGTATTTCCAAATGCGAGTTGGGACTTCCTAATTGCAAAATAACGGGTGCAATATAACTAAGGTGTTTGAGAGATGGTGTTTTGTCAAAAAACGAATGTTTGACCCTTTCAACGTTTCAATAAGTGAAAAAATTGTTAAGTAAATAACAGTTTGACTCTATCGTTTTTGGACGAAATCGCTGAAATGGAAACACCACAAATAGGAGAGTTTCGGGTATTGTTTTGAAATATCGCATTTTCTATGAATTGTTATGACCAAACAGCTACATTACCAAACATATTCTGGCAGTCCGTCAACTTATTCTGCTAGTCAACATCACTGACTAAATCAAATATTGACAGTCCGCTAATATAATCCGCTAACCGCCAACCTATAAATGCCAAACACGTCCAATGTGAGTCTATAATGTTTTTAATCGGACGGTAAGTTTTTGACCTGATCTAGTTAAATTTGTTTATATCTGGTCCAATATGTATTTTACAAATGTTTGCTTCGTGTGCTTACAAATTGTTGAAGTCTAGTTTGGTCTAATCTAATTTGGTCTGATCTGATCTATTTAAATCTGATATGAAACTTAAATGAGTCTAATTAAAAGCATCCTACCTTATAAATGGCTAGAACTTTATTTGTTTTGATTTTTAAGTAGGTGCCGTCTCAACTTATACCTTCGTATCAATCTACTAAGGGGCCAAAAATAAACACTCAAGAAACTTAAGGATCAAATAGCAATTATTTTATTAATAGTATATATTTGTAATATTTCATACTTCAGGACTATAAACTATCTCCTTTGTAACCATTTCAAAGTATCTATCACATATACATGGCTCAATCTTCGATCAACGCTTCTGCCTACACCTTAATTATATCATGTCAAACCCCGACTCATTTTTTTGTTCTTATTCCATACAATTTGACTCGATCTTCTGCAAATCCTACCAAAGATCCATCTCCTTTTTACCTTCCTCCAAACAACCATTATGAGATCCGGATCATATACAAAACATTCACGAGAGATAACCATAACACATGGAAAAAATATGTTGTCATGGCGTTTACGATAAAGAATATGATGTAGTTTCTTGAAGGAACAATTCAACAACCATTAACAAATGATTCAATTCCTTACTCTGCTTGCTACCGAGTGAATGCTTTTCTACAGTCCTAATCGTTAAGGATACAATGTTTTTTCTTTTCTGAAAATTAAGAAA